GGCGTGATAGCTTCTCGTTGACTTGAGACCTGAGTTTAGCACCGAGCTAGGCCACAAGCAATGATCTACAAAGCAGGGAGCTGGTGTGTGAGATCGTTCTTTCTTTTCTTCCTTCTTTCTCCCTCCCTCTCACTCTCCCTTCTTTCTTTCATTTTTAAGCAAGAGGCTTCTGGAAAGCATGGCTGAGATGGCTGTGGAGTCAGATGACTTCCAGGGTCACAGAAAGAGTTACTTGACTTTTTGGGGGGCAGAATTAGTTGATAGTAAGAGGCAGTTGTTTAATAACAGACAAATCAGCAAACAAACAAAAAACCCTTCGGCTCCATTATAATTATGAAGTTAAGATGACCATGGCCAGAGTTAAGCAGCCACTACAGATGTGTTCACTTCTAGGCACCGCCCCCCCCACCCCCACACACACATTTTTTCCAAAACGAAACTGAGGAAGGAATAAAGAAGAGAGCTTCAATTCTAGAATGAGTAGGGATCCTTTACTTGAGATTCATAAATGAATTCTAAAAGACTGTGAACAATAGAAAATTTGCACTTAAATGTATTTTAGCTTTCTGTATCACCCTAACGGGATCTTTGATCCAAGAAAGATTAAAAAAAACAAAAAACACTTTTATATGGATTGTGATAAGAATTGTACGAACCCCCAATAAAATGATTTAAAAAAAAAACACTTTTAAAAATTCCAGAATGCATGTATCTTGGAAAAAAGAATCAACTATAGGCAGTTGAATCAGAATGCCTAGAGGATGAATTAAGTTTTCCCGGGATTCTGCTTTTCTCCCAAGAGGAGGAAAAAGTGAATAAGAGCCAAGTGAAAAGAAGACTGATACAGATTCCTTTGAGTATTTGGAAAGTTCTGAAAATAGAACCAGGAAAGGGGGCGATGGGGAGAAGCTCTCAAATTACCCTTGTGCCCGAACATAATTTCCTGGGACTGCTTAGTCAACGGACTGAGCGTAGTTCTCAGAGTTCATGTTCTGCATTGGAGTGAAGTGAGTAGCACTTAGAATCTTAAAAGCTTGCAAATAGCCATCTAAAATGCAGTGATAGTTCTGTTTATGAGGAGTAAAAGAGTTAGAAGTCAATCAAATTCTCAGCGAAGAAACTGGTTTACATGGGTCTTGACCTCCATTCTGCTGAGACCAGAAGTAGGTGGGGCTTGGCTACCACCACTGGCAAACTGGTCAGGGTCTTAACAGATGCTCCAGTGTGAGTGGGAGAAAAGTACAGAACAAAACTCCTCTTCTTAAAATACGTGCAGATTGATTGGATCACTAAGACCGGAGGACTCCATGAGACTATCCCTCTATGACCTCTGTACACCCTGAACCCAAACAGCCCCCTGAATTCACCTTTTCACAGAAAAGCAGAGTGGCACACACAATAAAAGATAGTGCCCACTCGATCGGTGCTGTACTAAAACAAACAACAACAAAACCACCGTCTGTCAACATTGAATCCATAGCAAAGAGGAGCAGATGGGAGAAGAGGGCCAGGGGAATCAGAACACCAGAAATGGAACAACCAGACCACAATGAAAGAGAATGCTGACACAATGTGAAAAGTATTACTAATGTCATTGATCAGTTCATGTGGAAATTGCCAAATGGAACCATACATTGCTGTGTAAACATTCACCAAAAGCACACTATAAGGAGGGTTTGTAGTGTCAGAGAGCATGGTAGTACTGTACCTGTTTCCAGAAACTACGGATTTGGAGATACTGATCCCTGCTGTGGGGTTATTTGTGTAGGCTAGCTCTTAAGAGGTGTTACTCAGTTTCTGGATTGGATGAGACTTGGATGAAATGACCTCAGAGGTGGAAGTCCTTGTGATTTTGAATTCTCTGATGGAGGCCATTTAAAGGAACAGGCCAAGCTTCTGGAAGAAAACAGAAAAGAGGTGGGTCTATTGGACTTTGGAGATTCATGTTCAGAGTCTGTGGATGTGGTGTGATAGCTTCTGGTGCAACAAAGATGTTGAGGGAGTGGACACTGAAGCACAGTCCTACAGGAGCCATTAGACGTTTGCAGGAAGAGTCACGGGTGGCACTGGGATTTGGGGGGGAAGGGGGAAATGGATCAGAAACCATTGTGTCTGACCAACTGGAACGTAAGATAGAGAAACCAGGTTCTCTGGTTGCTTAGAGTACGTCTTCAGCCTGCATATGCTGCTTATGGCTTGATTTGAACCAGTGATTTCTCATTGTTCAGCCCTGTGCTTGGACCATCAGGGCAGCGAGCGCATCAGCCAAGCACTTCTAGAACCCAGCAGCTCTCCATTTTTGAAGGGCCTCTGTAATGTAAATAGGAACAGCAATCTTTCCAAGTTATTACCCTGTTAACAGGTTGACAGATATGTGCAAATTGTGACTCACTGCTCAATTTGGCACTAAATTAATGTCTTTCAGCGTGCGTCTGCTCAAGTGTAAACTAGTCACCACTGCTGTGTTACTGCTTGTTTGCCTATATTCAAAAGGTAAAAATTAAAGTAATGTGATCCTGCCATCGAGCAGAGTGAGCATATGGTGGAAGTGTAGGAGGAGAGCGCGCTGTTCCTACCTGTCCTTAGCCCCACAGTAAAAGCGAGTGAGCATGCTTGCAGAGCTGCGTGCAGACACTGGCAAAGCAGACTGTCTTGGGAGGCAGCATTCTGAGAAGCACTGCCAAGAAGGTGGTATGACAAAGACTACTTCCCCTACTAACCCCTCCTCCTCAGCAGAAAGAAAGTGGTGTTTTATCGCCAGGTTTTCAGTTTGAAGTTCCCAGCTTCCCATATTTCTGTCAAGTCACCAGTGGTGATGTAGCATTTAAAAAAACAACAACATGTATTTGAAAATGAAATGTTTTGATTTTTGGCTTCTAGAATGTAGACATTGTTTTTCTCAGTTAAAGATGCAGCTGCCGTTCTCTTTCCCCTTTTTGGCACATGCGTAATGTCACCTGGAAAAAAGAAATTTGCATCTCCTTTATGTTAGGCATCCGAATGAACAACAGACTTCTTAAAATTCTATTTTGCTTAATAGAGTTTGCGGAG